TTATTTAAAAAATACCGTAAAAATGCAGTATCCCGGTAGCAATCAGGCCTCAAAATCTGGCCACTTTTTTATGGTCCGGCTCGGCCCAAAGTGATCCGAATATTGTTTAGCCCCCCCCCTCCCCCCGGGCCGAAAGAAACTTCGTTTACAAAGATTTTTTTCTCAATAGAGAGCTATTCCATATTTTTCAGCTTCTATAAAAAGTGATAGCCAAGGGGAGGGGGAGGGAGGGCGGTAGCGTGGACAAGCTTTTCCCTATCCCCCTCAGGGTGAGCCAAATCTCAGGAAAAGGATTGTTAAAAAAGGATAAAATCGTCTGGGCGGGCCGCCCGTTTCGAGGTCTGGTAGCAATAAGCTAAGGACAGGAAGTGCATGCAGTGCCTGTACACCTTGCGTGGCCAAAAGACGCTTGGAGGCGGGTACGGATAAATACCTTTGTCGCTAAACAAAAAGTTGTTTTCCTGCTGGCGTACACTTCCTTGGAAAATTCCTGGTTATGCCTCTGCTATTGATAGAATTTTTTATTTTTTTTCTCATAGGATACTGGTTGTTATATACGTGTATTTCGTGAAAATATTGATAATAAACATACATGGATAAATTTAGCAAAGTAAAATTAAATTTATTTCTTAGATTTTTGTTCATATTTTTTTTTTATTGATCTAGAAATCAAAATGAATTAGAAAATCTAATAAAACTTCTTATAACTGATCATGTTGTACGAAAAAAATTTCCTGGTAAAATCTTTCTTATTATCGAATTTGTTCTAATAATGATAAATTTATTTTAGAATGGAAATTTTCTTATGAATCATTTAATTGTTTATCATCATCAAATGAATTTGAAGAACGTTATTCATTAAATTTATCAGATAATAAAAATAAAAATGAACTTTTAGATGTACTATGTTCTTCAGTAGTAATATTTAATTCAGGTAAAAAAAGTAGAAGAAGGATAAAACGTAAAATTTCAATTTTATTATATTATTTTAAAGATTTTATCAAAACAGAAGATGTTGATTTTGATCCAGTTGTTAATCTTAATCGAGATTTACCATCTTCACCACCAATATCATCATCGTTTGAGATAGACAATATTGAAAGAAAAAATGAATTAGGTTTGTTTGTTTTTTTGAAAAATTTTTATATTTTATTTTATTTCATTTTAAGATAAAACATCTGATAGTGAATCAATAAATTCTATTGAAATAATTGCTAATCGTTTAAGTATTTCATCATCAAATGATACAAGAGATGAAATATATTCTTGTGATTATTCACAAGATTCATATAATAATTATAATTATAAATATGAAGATATAGAAAATACAATAAAAAAAAGTCAACATATAACATCAACAAATGATAATCACGATGTACAAGTTATTATAAAAAAACCATTGTTAGAAAAAGGAATAAAACGTAAACTTGTAGATTATGATGATAGTGAAAGTGATTTAGAAGATAATGAAAAACATAATGAAACTAGTCAAGATTCTCATCATATTCCAGTTAACAAAGAATCAATAAATAATACTGAATTACCTATTGCATTACGTCGATCAAAACGTGGTCATAGACCATTTACGGCTGATCTTTCTCCAACTTCATCAAGCACAAGCAAATCTGCTTCACGAGTAAGGATATATTGCATTCTATTTTATTCGCATTGATAGATTGGCATAAATATAATCTATACTATAAAATATTCACTTATTTTTTCGGCTACGTAAAGGTAGTTAGTTAGAGTCAGAAGCAATTAATTAGAATCAGACATTTTCCGAAGATGTATTCAAAATTTCCTTCTAGGATAAGATTGTTTCAAAATAGTAGTTGTACAGAAGACTATTTTGATATTTCGATTGAAATCTATCAAGTTCAAAATGCGAAGCAATTTTTAATGGGTCAAGTTTGTTTGCTCTATAAAGCGTGCTGTTTATCTTTGCATGATAGATTTTAAAACTTCTGTATTTTAAAAAAAATGATTTTTTGGTCAATGCTGATTTCCATAGAAATTAACTCTTTAGTGGAAACGCACAGATGAAATTTCACTTATTGTAATATCTCATTTTGTACAGAATACAGTAATGTCGAGTTGACGCTGTTTAAGGTAGGGAGCTGCGAGTCCCTCCAGACCTGGATCCGGTCGGGTTCAAGGTTTTATTTTTTTTTGTCGGGTCCGGATCCTACCTTTTATTTTTTGTTGGGCTCGGTTACACGTTTTTGTGGACCCGCTACTCCCAAGATAAGAAATACAGCAACAAGATATAACTGTACGTTGAGTTTTTTTTCTGCGAGTAGTGAATAAATAGCTGAAACTTTTATCCTTCACTTGTTCATGTACACAAAGGCTGCCAGATATTGATGGGAAAAACCTCAGGATTGGGCTCAGCCAGGTCCGAGTCCATAAAAACATGGACTCGCAGCTCTCTAGTTTGAGGGCTGCACCAAAACTGCTTCTTTTACGGGATTTAATGATGGTTGTTCAATCTTACGTCAGAAAGAAAATCTGAGCATATACTCGGAAATAGTGAAAAACTCTGGCTCTGACCGATTGTCTTTTTTAGTGACCGAAAAATGAGCAAATATTTTGTGCTAAGTCTTTCACACTATAGATTATTTCATATATTGCAGTTAGGCATGTATCGAGTAGCTCAGGGTCGATTCGGCTTTGGCTGAGCGTGACCGTGCCACAGTTAAGTCAAGCCGGATCGCGTCCGAGTTGTTCTGTTTTGATACAAGCAACTCTCAGCGATTGTATTTTTTTTTTGCAAAACTAGTTTGTCGTAAAATTTTTGTTTCTTTTCTAGAGTTCAGGAAGAAAGAAATCTGTTAATGAACGTTGGAAAAATTCTAGTCAACCATCTAAAACAAATGGTCGTCGTCGTCGTCGTGGTAGAACATCAACGAATGAACATTCATCATCAACTTCTGATGAACATCAACTATATAATGATGATGATCTTTCTGATGATTATTTACCGGATAAAACAGAAATAGATGTACTTCTTAATGGAGATTTACTAGATGAAGAAGAAGATGATGATGATAGCATTTCTCATCGTACAGCTAAAACTGTTGCACTATGTCATGAACAATTTCAACGACCATTGACAGCATGTTCTATATGTTTACAAATCAATCATCCTGAATCTTTATTATTATGTGAAGATTGTGATGATGCATATCATTTAGAATGTCTTAAACCTGAATTATTATCAATACCAATTGATAGTTGGTATTGTCCACTATGTGAACATAAACGTTTATGCGATGGTTTAATTGAAAAATTACTTATACTTATAAAAGATCAAAGAGAATTTGAAATGAAACGTCGATTACATGTATCAAAACGAAGAAAACGTTTAACAAATGTTGCAGTTAATCTTGAACGATATGTTAAACAATCAACAAATGAAATTAAAACAAATGGTATTATGTCAAGTGATGAAACGGAAGAAAATGAAAAGAAAACTGATTCAACAAATAATAATAATAATAATAATAATAATAATAATAATAATAATGATGATGATGATGATGATGATAGTGTTTATGGACGTAAAAATGATGAAAATCGAAAACCATCTGATCAAGAATCAGAACAACCAGGAAAACGTCGAGTAAGATCATGTCGACGAAAAGCGCAAAATTATTCATTTGATGATTATGATAAAAAAATTAAAGAAGCTATGATTGATGCTGGAATTAATAAAGAATTAATTGAAATTGATTCAGGTATTTTATTCCATTATAATACATAAGGTTCTTTTTTCATTTGTCAATATAATTCTCTGTTAATCGACAGACGATACATACCAGAAATATTGATGATTGATACTTTTTGACCCGATCCACCTTACTAGTTGAATGTTTTGTTTCTCCTATCACCGAATTAATATACATTTTATTAGTAAAATATTTAACGAGTAACCCGTAAAGAATGGAACACTTCTCATTTTTTGAATAGTACAAACATAGTTCAGAGACTTCATTCGATAGAGAATTATGAGAAGTGAAGACATGGAAAATGCTGTTCTACGATTACATGAACAAGGCTTAAGTGACCGATAGATTTTAAAACAACTTGCTAGCGAACTTGGGAAATTAATGGTCTACAGATAGATCAAAATGTTCAAAGAATGATGTGCGATACATTTAGAAACACGTATAAGTCGAAATCGAACAAAAAGATTGATTCATCGGATGAAACACCATTTTACTTACACCAAAAAGAAAAAATTGACAAGATACTCGGCCCACTTGTATGAAGTTTCACGATCAACCATGCAAAGAAATATTAAAAATGATTTGGGTTTCCAATCATTTGTAAAATGTGTTGCTTCCATCGGAAAACAAAATTTTTTCATGGTATCATGATATGGTTAGAAGTATGTTTCGAGATGGCATTACTCGTCCTATTATTATAGAAGAAAGTAAAATCAACATCATATTACCCGCGTATCAGTCACACGTTGAGCAGATTGAACCGAAAAGTGTCAGCATTTCTGATGCATAAAAATTATTCAGTTGGAATTTAACTAAACACTTTTTATTATTTTCTAAAGTTTTTTTTAAATTATAAAATTTATTTATATAGATGATTCGGATGAAGTGATTTTGAAAAGAAAACAATCAAAAAAACGTCGTCGATATGAATATGACGATGATTTTGATGCCTCGGATAGTAAAACTAATGAGGAATATCTACCTAGTCGACGTCGGTATGTATTGATAAGAGATTTACTTTCTTCTAAAACAGAATCTTTTTTTATTTTTTGGTTACAATTTAGAGTTACAAACGATAATAGCCGAAGTACTATAAGGGATTATGATGATTTTCTATCAAATCGACGTCCGTATGTATTTCTAGAAAATTTATTCTTGTTCTAAAATAGAATCTTTTGATTTCAATTTAGAACTATAAATGATGATAGTCGAAGTAATGCAAGAGATTATGATGATTTTCTACCTAATCGACGTCCGTATGTATTTCTAAAAAAATTTTCTTCTAAAACCGAATCTTTTTTTCTGATTTTAATTCAGAACTATAAATGATGATAGTCGAAGTGCAAGAGATTATGATGATTTTCTACCAAATCGTCGTTCGTATGTATTTCTAAAAACATTATTTTTTTTTTCTAAAATAGAATCTTTTGATTTCAATTTAGAACTATAAATGATGATAGTCGAAGTGATGCAAGAGATTATGATGATAATGATGATTTTGGTATGAGTGATGATGATAGTGCTTGGAGAAATCGACAACAACCATCAGCATCATCAAAACCAAAAAAGAAATCCATTGCAAAGTATGAAAATCATATTTTAGTTTTATTAATTTTTGATTTGTTTTTGTTCTTTGAAAAGATCCAATCGTAACAGTCGTCGGAAATCAACAATTAGAACAGATGAAGATAGCATTCGTATGTATAACTGCGTCATAAATTCTAAGAAATTGTGTTCAAAAAACAATAAACTAGAAAATTTCTAAAGTTTACTTCGTTCTACACAGTTGTTATCCTAGAGCGGGCATAAGTGTTCGATCTATGACAATCACTGAAAAATTCATATTTTTTTTCTTTCTTAAGTTTCTGAAACGAATCTAAACAATTTATCATCAGGAATCAAAATAAAAACTGAACCAACAACTGAATTTGATAAAAATATCAATGGTACGAATGAAACTGCTAAAAATGTGTTTGATAAACATCCAGTTGTCAACAATTCATTGAATAAAAATCCAGTTATTAATACTTCACTTGGTAAAACTCCAAACGTTGAAAATGTAACTAATCAAAATGAAGTTGCTAAGACTCCTAAACCACGACGACCAAGAAGAGCAGCAGCTACAAAAAAGAAACCTTTAATTCAACAAGAAAAGTTTACTGATGAAGAAGATAATGGTCATCCACCATTACCAGCACGTAGACCTTATAGAAGACGACGTGTTAGTCATGAATCATCTCCAGATGATGATGATGATTATGAAAAATTAGCACATAAACGTCGATTATTTTCTCAAGGAAAAGGTACAATACGAACAAGTATAACAGCTCATATTAAAAAATTAGTTGGAGATGAAGATGAAGATGAAGACGAAGAACAGGAAGAAATTGAAGAAGATGCTACAAAAGATAAAAGTTCAGGTATGTAAAATTAACCAGAGAATGTTTCCTCATATCAAATCGCTCTTGAGTCGAAATTATGTGCATCATATAGGTCATAGATGGAACCGGTTTAATTTTTTGACGACTGATACCGGACTGGCCGGTATACCGGTTTGACCGACATATCGGTAATAAATCGGTCTACCTATACATACTGGTCTATCGGTAATAAACCTGACTACCAGTAGAGCGCTATCGAACTGATAGACCGGCCGGCTTAAAATCAGCATCAACACCGGACCGCTATTACCACTTCTAGTTATGACTAAATGTGTACAACAAAAAATTATAGAATTGTCTATAGAGAACGTATTAAAGTTTATTTTGCATAATTTGTTTTTGTGAAATTTCAATAAAATTTCATTATATATTTAACGAACAACATCAATTAAGCCCGATAAGAATGTTGCAAGAGTCTCGATGAAAAGAACAGAAAAGTAAAAAATGAAAAAGTTAAATCGGTAACTATCTATAGATTGGCAGTAAGCCGTTAAATCGGTAACAGACCGTTAGGTCGGTAAGTAACGGTAGACCGATGGACCGGTATCGAACCAGTAGACTAGCCAGTCTGAAGTCCGGACCAGTACCGATTCGATCTATGATATAGGTTCTAATAAGCTATAAACACCCTAAAAATAGTTCGGGCTAATAATTTATTTCTGCCAAGGTAATATATCTTTTTAGCAGAATGTCGTAGTTCTCTTTCGGGAAAACTTATGAGGGAAGTGCCCGGAGTGATTAACCACTTTTGAGTCCATATTTTGGCACATAGAGGGAACTTCTAGACTAGAATAAATCTGAAAGGATTCGGGCCGATGGTTCTTATGAGCTGAGATATTGAATTTTTAAGTTCCGGCAGATAAAAAAGATTTTGATTCTCTATTGCAATTATCTTGAAAAAAAAATATGCTGTTAACTAGAAATTCCATGATAAAGTGGTTGCATCATCAGCAAATTACTGTGAAATATCCAGATTTTATCTCATGTCTATAAATCACAGCTGTTTTCTTGAAAATTCTAGGTCGAACAAAATAAAGTTTTATAGATATCACTTTTTAAAAAATTATACCGTCACACTAAAAGACAGCAAACATCTAATTATGATAGTGATAAGCTTTAAAGAAATGTTCAAAGCAAAGTAGATTGTGGCAAACGTAAGTGAAGTAAGCACTCAACTCGAGTAAAATTCCAGCACCGATTCGTCCAGAGACATGTTCTAAACGTTCCATTCGTGTTCTAAGTACAACTCAACGAGCTCTATCCAATGATACAGTTAGATTTTCCATAACTCAAACTAAGCTTCCGAAAACCTCAAAATATTGGTATTCTTCTATTGGAAGTCTGGCACTCGATTTGAGTAATCCCAACACCAATTCGCCCAGGAATGTATTCCAAGAGTTCCATTCTTGTTCCAAATACAACTCGACGTGCTCTATCTAATAGTATATTCAGATTCTTCATAGTCCAAACTATGATTTTCAAGTTTTCCATAGCGCTAACTATGACCACAAAAAAAATCATATTTCGAGTTACGAAGAATCCGAGCTTACTATTAGATAGAACTCGTCGAGTTGTACTTGAAACAAGAATGGAACTCTTGGAACACGTTCCTGGACGAATCAGTGCTTGAATTACTCGAATCGGGTGCTAACTTTGTTTACGTTTGCGGCAATGACTGCATTGAATAAAGCATAATAAGCGACAGTTCAACTACTGGCAAATATCAGCATCAACGTTGAAACAAACTTCGTTGACAGACTCAAAATCTCCTGGATGCTGATCGATGTATCTTGACGCGAACTGTGCGCATTTGATCATAGGTGCGAATTGAGACGAGAACAATTGATTGTGAATAAGAGACTTCAATTGTATTATAATTAGGCATGCACCAAACCCAAACCCAAACCCAAACTGTTTGGGGGTTTGGGTTTGGGTATTGAGTTTGGGTTTGGGTTTGGGTTTGGGTATTTGAGTTTGGGTTTGGGTTTGGGTTTGGGTATTGAGTTTGGGTTTGGGTTTGGGTTTGGGTATATGAGTTTGGGTTTGGGTTTGAGTTTGGGTTTGGGTTTAGTGTGGGTATTGTGTTTGTGTTTCAGTTTCAGTTTGCTATTTCTATGCTACACATTGTTAAACAGTGATATAAAGTCATTCTCAATCCCGGAAGGATAACTTGAAGAATGAATATTTTTGGTCAATTTGTGTGCGGTCTGATTGATAGAAAATCGAAATCACATTTCTCAGTTGGAGAAGCGAGTGTTCGATGTTCTATCATAATCAAATATTGGTTTTTAGGGGAGACAGGGAACCGGAATTCGAACTCTATTTTCTTGAGACTCAAGAGTGGTCTACAATGAATGAGGGTGTCCACCTTTTAGCAGTATCTTCTCTAGTTTTCACAGACTTGGACTGAATATTTTCTGAGCGATGCAGCATTTGACTCTCCACGAAACCACATACATGTGCATGTCATAGGAATAAAAGCAAAAAGCGCTATTGTAGTAATGCTACAAGCATTCAGTATCAATAACTTTGAAACTCGAAATACAGCTCACTTGTATTTATGTATTGCTACATCAAGCTAGATAAACAAACTGTACTATCTATTTTGTGACACTGGCATGAATTTTTGAACAAAATGGTGAGTGAAAGTTTCAAGCCAAGCTGTTCCAGCTCCTATCTCCGCTAGAGACCTGCAATAGACTCCGAAAAGTGATTCCGACTCCGACTCCGACTCCGACTCCGTCGGAGTCGGAGTTGAAAACAAAAATTTTTTCGGAGTCGGAGTCGAACCGGAGTCAAACTTTTTTTTTCGGAGTCGGAGTCGGAGTTGATGTAAAATTTGATAGACTCCGGAATTTTTTTTTCTTTTCTTAAATAGCAGTTTTTTTCAAAATACTAACGTCAAGTAAACGAAAACTTGACGAAAATCATTTCAAACCAGCGGCGTACGCAGAAATTTTCCAAGGAAGGGGCCCATGTTCTCAAGGAGAGGTCCCGTAATGGAGTTTTTAAAAAATTTGTGCTGTAGTACCTTTTCTACCCGTACTCTCCCACGGAGAACTTCTCTTCAAGGGGGAGGAGGCGCGGACCCCCTTGCGTACACCGCTGTTCCAAACTACGATTAATTAAATGACTATAACTTCTGATTAGTCCGACACAGTTTGAGCTATTTCTTTTCAGATGATAGCTCTAATCATTCTCTACAAAATTACACACTTTGATCAACTGTCTATATATGTATTTCATATAAACAACGTCAATCTAGAGAGAAGGGTCGGAAGTGTCCGACCACTCTTTATATTTAATATTTAAAAAATGTTTGAAAACTCAATCAGCTTTAGTTTTTCTATCTAATATTTTACATATCTATTTATTCATGCACAATAATCGCCAAGCAGACCTCATTTGTGATGGTAAACTAACTTTAAGTTACATAATATCTCCGTACATGTGACCTGCTGCTGATTTATAATAAGAAAAATTTTCGGAGTTTTTCGGAGTCGGAGTCGGAGTCATTGAGAAAAAAAAATTCGGAGTCGGAGTCGGAGTCATTTAGAAAAAAACTCCGGAGTCGGAGTTGGAGTTATATAGGAAAAAAATTTCGGAGTCGGAGTCGGAGTCGGAGTCAAAAAAGTTTGACTCCGCAGGTCTCTAATCTCCGCCCCATTACAGACAAAAGCAAGTCATGCTCATATTATGGAGTTTAGTAGCCGAGATTATGTACTGAGTATCTATCAGCCTTATTAGTCATATAATCCAATGCTTATAATCAAGTCAAAATAATGAAGTTAAAGAAGATACGTGAGTTCTGCGTTTCAGCCTCTGAAAAACTGTATCAACAAACTTCTGTAGAGCTTCAAAAGCGCTATCTTATTAATACTCTCTAGAATTTTCATAGTGAAACTTTATTGCACAAAATAAGCATTACTTATTGGTTTCAGATAAAAAATCACGGCACTTTATTTGATATAGATAATGTTTATCTGTCACTTATCGTCTATGCAATGTGACTTCGTTATGAGAGCGTTTCAACAAACTGCTGTAATATGATAGAACGTTTGAAGCTCTACAAAAATAGATAGTATGATTTGCCTATATTTCTCTATATACTTCAGCATGAATACACATACATACATGACAAATATATTTGTTGTTTGGAAGGATGCTCTAAGCCTGATGGATTACTGTCATAACTTTTTGCTTGTTTTTATCTTGATGATACATATCTGTCAATGGTTTCATTGAGAGTTAAATACGATACCTTTTTGAAAATGTGGAATCCACAACTATCAATAACAACAGAGATATTGAAGAAATACTGCGAAGGACTTTATTCTGATCGGTTCACTGGAAGTACTTTTAAAAGTAGTTGGTATTGAATGCCTGTAAGATTATAACAATAAGTCTTTTATTTTATTTCTATGACATACATCTTTTTATGGCTTCGCGCACAATCAAATGCTCAATATTATTAAGAAAGTCCCTTCCAAATCCATGAAAACTAGAGAAGATATGAAGAAAATACGGAAACTCTCATTCTTCATGGGTTCATTGTCAGATTAGCGAACCCCAAACCAACAGAAATAGACTTTTTCGAAAAGCGTCTCCGTAGGAATAAACTCAGGCCAACAATGTGCATGGTGGGCAGTTGTGATGCGACCACACATCCATATCCACATTGCTATGCTTATTCATACTTCCATAGAGACGTGCTATATATCCAGGAAATCGGAGAAGCTGGAGGAGTGTAGAATGATGTAGGAAATGCCAGACTAACTATAGAACAGACTCGTCCATTATACTTTCTCCCGCACTCACACTCACGAGCGATGCCACTGTAGGAGATGCCGCATAGATTAAAGTCTAAAAATAGAAAAAAGATTTCATTGGCAGATGCCAGGAGATATATCTCCCGCATCTCCCTGCGGTTCTCCAGCTTCTTCGATTCCCTGGATATATGACACTGCTGCTTTTCGACATTAGCTTTACACCTTCATTGGCTGAATTCTCAGCATTCAGAAAATTGACGGATTCATAGCTGGCTACAGAAAAACTTTGAATGATTGAACAATATATATAAAAGACCTCAAAGTTACTGAATCAGACTCCTGCGAGAGACTCATTGATGGATTTGAATCAAAGAATTAGAGCGCCGTATAATAGACTAACATGTGAAGACTCATCCTTTAGAAATAGAGAATTGTACTGCAAGCCACACAGACTGCAAATTTAAACATCCATTTTCTGACTATCTTTCGGTGAAGCTTTCCATTCTAAGTGTAAGATTTTAATTCCATATGTAATTCATTTCTTAGCTATATCTGTTTTTAATCTCTCTTTGTTGCGAAAAAATATTACGAATATACAAAGCAATACTATAGAAAAATTCCATAGATGATGAAGAAGAAGAAGGAGAGATTCATAAAACAAAGCTAAACATAGACGATCAAACGTGGAGGGAAATGTTCGTTGCATATAATTATAAGTGAAAGGGAAAATACCATCACATATACGAATCTGAGCGAAAAGGAAAAATCTATTATGCACGACTAACAACAAGAGAAGAGAAGAAAAACCCAAGTACATATCTACAATCATAAATAGAAAAAATCCTTAGGACTACATCTGAAGAAGATTTAGGTCACAACACGAAGTTCTATTTCTATTGGCGCATTGCCCCACTAAAATATTTATAGGGCGATATAGCTATGATTAAAACTGTCGTCTCAATTACCCTAGAAGAAAAAGACGAAGAAGAATACCCTGCCTTTCAACTGCTTTGCGATATAGGATGCTTTCTGAAGACAGTTTCGAAGGCCTAACGTTTTTCGCACAACTATTACTAGCTATAACTCTGGAGAGAAAGCAGGCCTGACTCAGAGTTTCTTCCACTTAATCACTTAAGCTCGCCCCACAAGTTTACTCATCACATAGTAGCCACAATGGCTTTTTGTATGTCGATCACGTATTCAGAGGGGCGTCACATATCCAGGAAATCGAGGATGCTGAAGGGATGCAGGAACATATGGGAGATATCTAACTATCTACTAATAGACGATTACATTACGGGTGTTCGCATGTGTGTTAATGTTTTCTCCCACACCCACACTGACCAGATGCGGCTGTAGGTGTTTCCGTATGTATTCGTGTTTTCACCTTCACCCATACTCATGAGATGTGGCGGTGAGTATCCATGTATGCTTGTGTTTCCTCCCTTATCGTCGCTGTAGAGATGTGTTTAGAAATGCCCAATCTTCTGGAGAGATGTGCTTGGAGATGTGGCATCTTCTGCAAGAGATGGGTCTTCCGCTGGGATCTCGGGCTAAAAATAAAATAAAACGTTTTCATCCGCAGATGCGGTATCGTCTGGAGAGACGCCATATCTTCAAGCACTTCACCCCACAAGATTCGGCATCTCTAAAGAGACTCGGTATCTAAAGGAGATACAACATCTCCTGCATCTCCCTGCACTTCTTCAGCATCTCCTGTTTCCTGTGTATGTGGTACTACTTCGTAGTCAGTGAACCATTAAAAGGTAAGCTATCCTACGGAAACTATCTCTCGAAAACGTTAATTTCTGTTGACTCTTGATCCATCAATGTAGTTTTGAGGAAAATGAGGTTCGGTTTTGGGTTCCTCTCTCTAAAAAACAATATTTCATTATGATAGAACATCAAACAATCGCTTCTCCAACTGAGAAATGTGATTTTAATTTTCTATCAATCAGACCACGGACAAATCGATCAAAAATATCCATTCTTCAAGTTGTCCTTTTGGGATTGAGAATGACTTTATGTCACTGTTTAACAATGTGTAGCATAGAAATATGCTTTTACTTATATCTATACAAAATAAATAGTAAAATATAGAGAAGAGACTTGGCACGAATGGTATTACATTTAAAGTCCAGTAGTTCAGTGAGTTGAAATAGCAAACTGAAACTGAAACCCAAACACAATACCCACACTAAACCCAAACCCAAACTCAAACCCAAACCCAAACTTATATACCCAAACCCAAACCCAAACCCAAACTCAATACCCAAACCCAAACCCAAACCCAAACTCAAATACCCAAACCCAAACCCAAACTCAATACCCAAACTCACCAAACCCAAACCATTTGGGTTTGGTGCATGCCTAATTATAATGTTTCGTTCAGATAAGTTAATAGCGATATCGTCAAGTTGAATGTTATAGAATATACGCTGTGCGAATAACTTTCATTGTCTGTTGAAATAGATGCCAGGTGGTTGAATACGTGACATAGTGTGAGCTAGTATTTCTAGCCTCTTACATCCTTGGACAGCGGAGTATGTCTTCGAGTCTCGTTGACCAGACCAATAGTCTGAGATCAGAAAAGATTTCGATGGAGCAAATGAACGAAAAACATGATCTCGCTTTATTCATGAACCACTACCTCTGTGATGATGATTGATATAATAGAAAATAAAACACTGTGGCTTATAGAAATGAGATAAAATCTGAAAATTTCACAGTGATTTGTTGATGATGCAATCAGTTTATCATGGAATTTCTAGTTAACAGCATATTTTTGTATTCAAGATAATTGCAATAGAGAATCAAAATCTTTCTTCTTTGCTAGAACTTGAAAATTCAATATCACAGCTCATAAGGACCATCAGCCCGAACCCTTTTAGATTTATCCTAGTCTAGAGATCTCCTTTATGTGCCCAAAGTATGGACTCAAAAGTTGTTAATCACCTCGGATACTCCCCTCGTGAGTTCCGAATTTCGACTTGAAACTTTACATAGAGACAGACCTTAATGGTAATAGCTTATTGTAAAAATTTCTTTAAATATAATTTCATTGTTTATTTTTTTTTGTAATCGTCAAATCAGATGGAAAAAAAAAGGATGGTAATAATAATTCAAAACCAAAAAATAAAAATTTACAACATGATGAATATCAATTATCCGATGATGATGATTTTCCAGATGAACAAGAAATATTAAAAACAACTGGTTTGAATTTAAAAAAACCTTTAAATATACCAGTAAGATTGCAAACTTTATTTTTTTATTGGAAGAGAAACCTATTTTTGTTGTATTTAGAAAGTTGCTCCTATTCGAGCACCAGTTATGTCTTCAATGCAATCATATCAGTTTACAATGGCTGATCCAACAGCAAATTTTGACTTAACTTGTCTTCCGGAAACACCAATAACAGAACCGAGTGACTCGAATCAAGCTAATGCCAATCATAATCTATCAACAACAATTTAACAAACATAGATCTTTTAGTTGCTGTCATTGTACATTCCATTTTTTAATAATTATGTTAGTTTTCATTTTTTTTGTTTTTTTTTTTCTTGCAATGTGATGCAAAACAATATTAGCAAGTAGTTCTTTTATTAACGACTATTTGTAGTTGCGTGATAGTTACCTAGTGGTGCCAAAAAAAATTTCATTTTTTAGTAATAGTTGATAATCTGTTTTTTCTTTCATGTCTGATAAACTTTTCTAGTTGATAATAAATTAATAATCGCAATGAATTGTTATTTGTTTTTTTTTCTTTTCACTTGTTGATGAGGAACAAGATACTTTACTTTGAAGTGTGATGTCCATAAAAACTGAACAATAGAAAATTTTACACGAAAACCATGATCAATTATCATCAGATCTTTTGATTTCTAAGATCTAAAACGCTTTATTTTCTATAGCAGTTTTTCAATCAAGCATTTAGACATTATCAATGTTTCACGGATATAAATGTGACATCAAAAGATCAGTACTTTAACTTATTGAATTAAATATGAATCAAGAAAATCAAATAATAACTATAATCGTACACCAGTTCTACAAATGATTTTAAATAATGTTTTATGTTGTCTGTCTCTTTCTCATATTATTCCTTCATGTAGTATGGTAAGTATTTCATGTTTTTATTGTAATTTTAAGAAATCGAAAAATCTTCGCATTCATTAATGACTGCTAATCGCAATGATAAACAATATTACGTGAAGCATCGTTCATTGTGCGTTCTGTTCTAATATCTCCATAAGGTGAACACCAAATGATATTACCAATTCTACCAACTGATAATGAGAGATAATTATTGGAATTGATTTTTACTAAACCAGAGTTATTTGTAAACACTGTAGCATGATCGGTTGAAAGGGAACGAGAATCAAAAGTTCCTTGACCTAACTGAATAACATGGAGTCGTTGAGTTGAACCCGATAGTGTTATATTACTATTTTTTAACAGTAGAACTTCAACAACCTCATATGTAATATTATTCAACGTAATTTGAGATGTATCACTTGTTTCAATTGCTAATTGATTGCCTTTCAAATAGCCAGATGTTCTAAGACTAGCGACAGCTCCGATCTGAATGGTTCGAAGTTCATATGCACGAATAGTAATATCGCAATCTTCTGTTGTATCGATGGTCAAAATCATATTAGTTACATTGACCGAGACGTAATGTATCATATTTGAGTTACAGCTGAACTCAACTGAAAAATCGGTAGGATCCGACGTACCTTGCAACACAACGTCTTTTGCTCGAAGTATGTTGATGGTTGTGAAAGGTTTGACTGCTATATAAGAAGAAAACTCGGTCAAATTTGAATATTGCGACGAAGTCGATGTCCAATAAAAGTCTTCAGCGGTAGCAGTAGATGCCGATGTATTGTTCGGATAACTAGTATAACTATGGTATGAATAATTTGATGATTGCGTAGAGTAGGTAGTAGTACTTGAATACAACTGGTACCAAGCTGTCGGTGTAGAAGTTTGATAATCAGTGTACCATGGATATGACAGTGTAGATGGTTGTGTAGGGTAGTTAGGAGTACTTGAATGCAACTGGTACCAAGCTG